TTTCTCGTCTCTCCTAACCCATCCCCCAGCCCCCCCAACCCTGTTTGTTTCTCCATAGTCTCTCCTAACCCATCCCCCAGCCCCCCAAACCCTGTTTGTTTCTCCCTAGTCTTTTTTTTTTCGTCTCCCCCTCCGATTCCCCCCCTTCATTTTTCCCTTCCTACTATCTTCTTTTTTTTTAACATAGTGTCCTAGTTGTTCTAAGAAAGTTGCCTTCATGGTATTACTTGAAGGTTAATCTGGGATGGGATGGGGTAGGAAAAGCCACACTGAGGTGTGAGATAGCTATGGTCTGGGACTCTGCTACTAACTAGAAGCATGACCTTGAGCAAGCAACTTCATTTTGAAGAGCCTCAGTTTCCTTTCCTGTAAGAAAGAGTTTAAATAATTTTCGAAGATACACTGGTGGTTCCAAGCCTCTACTGAATTCTTACTCTTCACAACATGTAAAATGTGTTTTGCTCTTTACTTGAAATTCAGTACAAAGCTAAAGGAAAATAAGACACTTAGATAACAAGCCCTGTTACACTTAGAATGAGTGTTTTAGGTCGGGCAGCTGTGCATCTTGGCTTATATCTTTGTTTATTTTTAGTTGCCTAACAGCAACCAGACCTCAATTTCAATCACGCTATACTTTCTCCAAGCATCCCATATGACTCAGATGGAGCTGCCTCCATTCCCAGGTCCAAGGATGGGTTCTGATTTACCATCATCATAATTCTGTCCCTTTACTTTGTGATTGGTTCAGGAACACAGACCTAAGCCAATCAGTACATTATATTCCTCTAGCAACTATTATTGGCCCAGTGGTGAGCATGTGACTTGAGGTGGGTGAATCTGCCTAAAAAGATCTTTCATTCCATGAGGGCAGAACTGAAGAGATTTTTTTCCCTATTTCCAATTTTCATGAGCAAGACAGCATCATTTATGGGACGCCTGGGTAGCTCAGTGCCTTAAGCGTCTGCCTTCAGCTCAGGTCATGATCCGAGGGTCCTGGGATCGAGCCCGGCATCGGGCTCCTTGCTCAGCAGGGAGCCTGCTTCTCCCTCTGCCTGCCGCTCCCCCTGCTTGTGTTCTTTCTCTCTCTCTCTCTCTGACAAATAAATAAATAAAATCTTAAAGAAAAAAAAAAAAAACAAGAGAGCATCATTTTCCTGCTGCTGCAGATGGTCCAATCAGGAAGGAAGCCAGTCTAATGAAACAAACAAAAACCTGATCCTCCAAGGAAGACAGAGCTACTGAGCCAAGAGCTCTGATAAGACCATGCTTGGATCTGGCCCTGCCTCTGGACTTCCAGGTATGTGAGATGGCTCATTCCCTTGCTCTTTCAGCAATTTCCAGATTTTTTTCAACTGAGAGCTGAAAAGTGTCCTTACTGATACAGCAAACTCCATGCTTATAAGGAACTCTTTTCATAAGGATGAAATGTTCTTTTTTACTCAATAAGGAAAACTGTTATTATTGTGGTCTGGAAACAGATATGGCAGAAAAAGCTCAGTTTGGGAAATGATTGTTGTTTTTTAAAAATATATATTTTTGTTCCTGAAAACTCAGCTATAAATCTGAGGGATTTCTGGACAAGGTCTACATCTCCCTCTTCCTTTGTCTCTTTCACTGTGCCAAACAGTGCTTTGAAGAGAGGAGGTGTTCAATGACTTCCTTTGAGGAGGGCAGGGTAGGAATGATTTGTCTTATTTGTCTTGCACCCCCTGTGTGTGTCACAGTGCCTATCACATAGCAAGGACCAAATGCAGACTTGTAGAGTACTCACACCTGCAATATGTTAATGGTATTCAAGTCCTTCCTATTGGGACACTTTCCACCACTTCCAATCTGGTTTTCCAGGCAGTGTGCCTACTCCCTTCCTACTGAATTCTCCATGTGTAACCAGGCATTGCCTGAGAAGAACATTTTCCCCCTCTGAGTGACATCTGTTAGAAGCATCCTATCCCTAAAACAATTTACAGATGATTTTTTCACTTGGGACTAGGATCTAATCCACTGTACCTTTGTAACTTCTGAAGAAAGATGAGAATGGGTCTCCTTGAGGCGTGAAATGGAGCTATGACTAAGGCCTCCCACCACTGCCATTAGAGTGTTAAAATTTTTGAGCTGGAGGAGCTTCTGCAATACAAAAATGTTAACATCAATACTTTGCAACAATTTTTCAATTATTTTGGTCTTACAGGGGATTCTGTATTCTGGGATTACAGGTGAATGCATGCACAATTTCAATAACAAGGATCTAAGAAAAACATTATCAATTTAAAATGAAGCACAAATGCAATCCACCAGAAACACATACTAATCATTTTACCAAAAAAAAAAATAGTTATAATAAATGCTTCTAAGGATTGCTGATTAAAAGCAATCTTCTTGCATGATAGCAGTATGAGTTGTTCACTAGATATTATGAATACTTTAATTGTCCTTTATATTGTGAGCCCCAAATTTCTTCAACTTTTCTCTAGAGTGAAGGACCGTCTAGATTCCTTTAAGAACCCTGTCAAAAAAAAAAAAAAGAACCCTGTCTAAGGGACGCCTTGGTGACTCAGTCGGTTAAGCATCTGCCTTCAGTTCAGGTCATGATCCCGCGGTCCTGGGATCAAGTCCTGAATTGGGCTCCCTGCTTAGCGGGGAGCCTGCTTCTCCCTCTTTCTAAAAAAAAAAAAAACTTGTGTTTCCCTCCCACCTCTCTCTGACAAATAAATAAAATCCTAAAAAAAAAAAAAAGAACCCCCATCTAACTCCCAGACATACATACCTTGGCAACATTGATAAACTTTGTAATGACTTCTGCCCTTTGCTGGGGGGTTGGTTTGCTAAGAACCATCAACTGGACCCACTTAGAGATTCCATTAAATAAAGCAATAGATCTCTCCAAGGTTGGGTTATTCTCCAGGCAGCCATGGATGACATAGCTTTGGTAATCAGTGAACTAGTAAAGGAAGATTCAGAGACTGAATTAAAATGGAGTCTTTGCAAAATCAGAAATTGGAATGTTGCATGGAAGCTGTGAAATACTGTTTCATAACAACATAATGATTTCTTTCATTTCACATTTATAATGGCATCTTACACATTTGAATATACAAGTTCCTTTAATATACTGTTTTGCTGTGTTTCACTCCCCCATACACAGACACATACATCACAGTGTCATGGGTGGGGTGGAGAGGGACAAGATTCGAAGTCACATTCCAGTGAGTCCCAAATTTGCTGGATCCTAAGATCCACCTGGGGCATTTGTGTTTTAACCTATTGGTTTCTGGGAACACTCGAGACCTAAAGGGTCAATCTCTCCAGAGAAAGAATCTAAGAATCTCCATTTTTCAGTCACTACTGGTGATTCCAATGGTCAGGCAAGTTTGAGATACAGTGGCATACATTAAAGAAGAGGAAATGAATATAAATATAATGATTTCAAGTCAGAATAATTTTGTAAAGTTTTTTCAAGAAAAAAAAAAAAACAGTAGTTGAAGGTAGCTCCTTAGCAAAACAGATACCTTTTCAGGAAGTCAGCATGGATTTCATCAAATACATATGAGCTTTCCATCATATAAACAGTGCAGGGGGTTCCTTTTCATGGCCTGCTGGTGGAGAACCATGAAGGTCCTCTCCAATAGGATTATTTATTGAAAAGAATCTGTCTTTCAGAAATCCATACTTCTAACTTCATGTTCTTCTTTGCAAGTAATAATATATTTAATTCCCTGGCATCTTGGAAAAGAAGGAGGAAGAATGACTGCCCCAGAGCTTGGTAAGACAAAGGCTGATTATGAGCCATTGCAGAAATATTATCCTAACAAGTGGATAGTGAGTAGGTGGCTAGGAAGAGACACGAGACCATAGTCAGGAGCAAGAGAAAGGGGGTGGAGAAGAAACGCTATCAAGACAGAGTAGGAAAGAAAAGTTTAATTCAGGATCTCTGTTCCTGGGAAAGAAACAACCTAATGTGAGATTCTCATCAAAGCCTACAATTCTTATTTTCAACCTACACCCATAATTAAGCATTTATACAAATCCCAACCTAAATAAAGATTTTGTCCCTCAAATGAAGGACCTAGCAAAACATGTTCACTTGGGAGAAGTCAATGGAGCTCCATAAACCTTGAATGGTTAAATCTCCACTGAGTATTTAGAAAATCATGCTTTAATCCTATGAAAGGAGGCATTGAAAATAGCGACAGATATATAGCTCCTAAGCCATAAAATAAAGACAGGATAATATTTATCTTTGGTTAAAAGGGATTGTTCCTGTGAATTCAGGGCACTTTTCCAGTAGAGCACAATGACAAAGGCTGCCAATACTTCAGAGTATGAAAACGCAGCTTTTGGGAAAGTTGGCATGGTGGTTGTTATCCTTGGAAGAATATACGTCAGTTTCTTACTGAGATCCTTCTAAAAGATTTATGCTCCAGAAAAGTGAGGTGCTCAGCCAATTCAATGGGCTCCAGATGGTCAAACAGCAGACAGGCTTTTCCCTTCTTGGATACTTTTTTCCTCTGTGTGACTCTTCTCATCCAGTCATAGGAAGGACTATAAAAGAAACAGTGAGTCTGGTCAATGTGCTGAAAGGCCATTTCATTCAATGGAAGTTATTAACCTACTGACTCTGTAACTCTTGGCCTGCTTCCAGAAGCTTGTGCAAAATACACGCCCTGTCCTTCATATTTGAAGAGAAAACCACTGACCCATTGCCAATAGAACAGAAACTATGAGTTGTTTTTCCAGACAGGGTGGGTTTGCACTGATCCATCAAGAATCTCTTACTTGCTCTTTCTTATGACCAGTAAGGTTGGGATCATAGGGGAGAGGTCAGGGTTAGGTCTATAAACTTGGCAGATTATCAATATATAGGATCGTGATTTACGGCACATGAAAGCCACCCGAAGTTCGTTCTCACACTTGGGCAACATATAGATTATCTGAAAAGCTCGTGATATAGACAGAGATCTGACCTCACTGCCAGAGATCCTAATTTACTAGGAATGAACCTGAATAATCTCTATTTTTAACAACATCCCTGATGATTCCTGGATCATGCACTGTTCATCAAGATTCTCAAAGAACTATTCTAGGAAAAAGGGCTAGAGTATGAACGCCCAGGACACAAGAGCTTATCTTTGCAAGATGGGATAACCATTCTTAGGGTCATTAAATAGTTTTCTCTGTGCAAAGTTAACTGGTAGATATAAAACGCTAGTCTCATTAGTACTGAGTTCCTAATAACTGAGCTCACCAACAAGGCCATTACTACTCTCTCCCCCAAACAGTGGGCTCATCATGTTTGAAAGAAACGTGTGCCACTCTTACATGCTGGATATGTCGATGAGGCTGATGTGCTTTTCATACCCTAGTTGACTAGCTACTTCCCGGAACTCTTCAGTCATACGGATCAAACCAAGGTCCAAATTAAATTCTGCAGGAAACTTGAGAATCCAGTACCTGAAAGGCATCAAGTATTTTTGATGGAGAGATGATTTCAAGCTATACCTTCATGGAAACTATTGTATCATTTTACAGATTACGTTTAACAATGAACCCAGGACCATGCCCCAAATTAGCAATCTCCTATTCCCCACCGATGACACGGGGTCTCACTCTTCCCTCCTTCAATCAAGGACCCAAGTCTACCACTCCCACTCTGAGCCTCTTTCTGACCCCAAGTCCTGAGCATCTGGACTCGCATCTAAGTCCTGAACCACAGCTGAGATCAAACCCTTCCCCCAACTCATGGCAACTAGATGGGAAAACTTATGGTGGGTAAATAGAAAGATAAAATGAATTTGCTCTTTCCAAGAGCTAGTTTTATTCCCTAATCAAATTTGCCTACTGCTTCATCTCTAAAAGAAAGATAAATTCTACTCCCAGGAACAGAGGAAGGCCAATTTAAATAAAATCAGTAAAGGGGGGAATCTGAGTCAATTCTATTGCCAGACGAGGTCTACTGTCTGGGCAGAAAGAAACTGTCAACAATTCCAGAACCATACACTACAAGACAATTACACGTATATTTACCTCATGAAGTAGCAGATCTTTAACCGAAATTCATCACAGCTTTCTCCACTGGCCTCTCGATAAGTACACTAGTTAAAGAAAGAATCCTTGCACCTTGTTGCCTTTGCCCACACCTGCAGCTGTTTGACCAATTTAGATGAATTCCTAATAAGGAGGCCATCCTGGGGACATTTGGGTTACGTGGACGTTCAGATGGGAAGAGAAGGGGCTCTGACGGTGTCAGCACTGAGTAATTGTCACCTGCACGCTACCCCCTCAATATTGAGATCTGGGGACTAGGATCTTGCTCACTTTCAGGGCCCTCGGTTCAGGTTGAATGTCCCCTTAACCCTTTCTGCATCCCCTTCGGCCCCGAGGTTGTAGGGAGGACAGAGGGAAGAAGTAGGAAGTGGAGGAAGCTTGCAATGAGCAGATGGACGCCCACATGGCCCTCATAATCATTTGACAGACCCTCTGCCTTTCAGGCTCCTCCTACCCTGTAAGGCTTCCCAGTCATCTGCAAGGTCCCCTGGGGTTGAAGCAGGCCGAGACTGTCGGAACCAATATTAGTGATTACATAATAAACATTAGATCTCCAGGAAAATAATCATCCTTATAAATCTGAGACTTTTTTCATTTTGGGCCATTTGGCTTTCAACCACCTTTCAGGACTGCTGTGTGTTCAAAAGTGGTAAACTGCTAAAAGCCCTTATTATAAAATGGAGTTTCTAACTATTTTTTTTGCTTTTATATCAGAAGGAAATCTGAAATTAAGATCAACCAACAAATTGCAATAAACTTGCTAGAATGTTCTTTGTGTCTTGTAAGCAAGGGAAGATGTGAAAACTCAGGTGGTGTTTGTGCCTGAGCCAGATCCTATTATTTTGGCTGGCATTTCCATGTGTCTAAACTGTATCCTCTACATCCATCATTTTGCCATCCTAAAAGGAATGAATTAGGTCTGGAATCAGTGTTGACTATTCTTTCATTGTACTAACAGCAGAAATGTTTAAGTCAAGTTAGAAACATTCAGCCTATAGCTTCTGTTTCATTTTATATCTAGTGATTATTTTTAAGTCGAGCCAAAACATCCAGATGGATAGTCAACTGTTTGGCCCATCATCCAGATGTCTTGTCTAGACATCTATATATATCCACAAAACAGCTGGATAACTGACTAAAGACTATTTATTCATCTTAATTTACTGGCTTTTGTTAGACGCTCTATCTAAATACAGAACTTGATTTATGATTGTAAAAATTACACAGTAGTTGAAAAGATATATGCAGAGAAGTTTTTCTGCCAATTCAGTGGAAGATAAATACCATCGGTGCATCAGTAGAACTATTCTTGGCAAATAACTATTATTCAGCTCTCCATTGTCATCTGTTAAAAAATAAAATAAAATGAGGGGTGAGGAGACAACAGTACTACTCTTCTCTTTTTCTAATAACAGTAGAGAAACATTAGTGTCAAAAATTTCTCGTATACCCAATTATTGTTTTCTTCCTCCTTCCATTGGTACCTTCTTACAAGTTACGTGGATGTGGGGTTTCACCCTCCCTCTGGTGCTGGACTGCCAGATTTAGCAAACAGAAACACAGGACACTTAGTTAATCTGAATTAAGGTGAACCACAAATAATTTTTTAGTATAAGTATGACCCATGCATTATTTAGGACATGCTTACACTAAAAATAAACTTTATCTGACATTCAAATTTAACTGATCATCCTGTATTTTATCTGGCCACCCTACTCTGGTCTAACTCTTCCTGTAATGATCAATTTAAAAAACAAAAAAACAACTCCATTTGTTTTGTACAAATGTCACACCATCTGTACAAAGAATAATCTGAAATGCTGAGGTGGATATGTAAACAACATAAAAAGTAAAGTCTGTAACCTAGTAGGAGATACAAGACATATACGCAAATTAGAATGCAGCAGATTGTGCCATCCACAATTATGTGAGCCAAAAGACCGAGAAATGATCATACCATATGGGAAAGTCACAAAGGGCTGTGGGAGGAAGCAATCAGCATTCCTGACAGCAGAGATCAGGTACGGTGTAATGAACATCTGAAACAGCATCTGAGATGAGCCCGGAAGCAGAATTTCAGTGAAGGCACAGAGGTAGAAAGATGCAGGGGATGTTCCAGAAACATTAAGTGGACAGTATGACTGGCACATTAGCTGTGGGCGTTAAAGGGAAGGCAATGCACAGGGCAGTGTTACTAGGGAGATAGATTGGGGTCAATCAAAAAGGACTTAAATGCCAAAGATGGAGACCGAATTCTGTTCAGCAGCAACACTCGCATCTGAATAGGGAGAAGTGGGAGGATCAAGGTATATCAAAGGGAGAAAAGGCTCATACCAAACATCTCAATGCAAGTGCTCAACAGTTCATCTAATGTTGCTGCTTTTCCAAGTCCACTTGACCCCATGGTTATTTAGCCGTTGTCAAAAAACTAGATACATTTTCAGCCTCAGGTAGACCATCTCCATAATCACACAACTTGGTAATGTCTGTGCTGGTACTGGTCTCTGTCCTTAGTCATATTTCAAGACTCTAAGGAAACAAGAAATGAGTTATCAGACTAGAGTTCAGACCTCATTAAGGCATTACTTTTCCACCTAAAAAGATAAGGACTTCCATTGACTGTATCTTTCCCCAAGAAAAGTCTCAGACTGACAGAGATTACGTCAATCATCATGATGGTAAAATGCCTGCTAAAGTACTCTTTAGCATGTGAGGCACTCCAGAACCACAGAAATGTTCTGTGAGATACCATTCCATTTTGCAGCTGACATTTTTTTAATACAATATCTTACATTTTCTTCATATTCTTAAGTGATAAGAGAGACATTCAAGAATATTATAAATGTTACTTGGTTTAATATTATTACAAGTATATAGAAGGAGGTAAATTTTGAAGTGCAAATATACTGATGAGCATCATCCTCAATGATCATATAAACATTCAACAACTGATTTAAAAAATCTTACTTGCCTGATTTCTCTAATAGTAACATTAATAGTAGTAGTGAAAGTATTAACAAAAACCTATTGAACACTCACATTACGTACCAGGCACCATACCAAATGCTTTATATATTATCTTATGTACCAGGCACCATACCAAATGCTTTATATATTATCCAACTTGACCTTCATAATAATACCATTATGACCAACACAATGATGCTTCATAACAATGCTTCCAAACGATAGTAATTATTACTCCCAGTTTACAGATGAGGTCATGGATTTGCAGAGATGCAGCAACTAGTCTAAAACCACACAATTAGTAAGGTCTAGAATCAGGACTCCACTGTAAAATAAAGCTTTTAGTTTCCTTTGCCCCCTTTCATTGCTCTCTCAAGTATGGATATCATAAACTGTCATAATTTTGTCCCCTAGTCAGAAAGAGGACACAGCCAAATGATCTGTCGCCTAGGTAGAAGAAATATGTGGGTATAACAGAGGTCCCATGTTACAGCACTGTCATGGGAAAAATGGGGATTAAAAACAACCTCTTAGAGTTCCTCATACTGGACGTACTGCTGTTGGAAACACCATCACTTTGTTTTACAGAGTCCTTGTGGCAGTTCCATATAGGGCCTAAAGAAGGTGAGAGGTCATCATGATGTAAGACAGTTATTTACTTTGGGCAGTTTAATAGGTAAATGTGGCCACTGGGCATGAATCTCTTAAGCTGTTTGAAATCAATGTCTATTTTACTTTCAGAATGTATTTATTCAACTGGTAAGCACTGAGGACCTGACAAATGCCAGGCACTGGGCTAAGCACTGAGGCTGCTAAGATGAACAAATCATTGTCCCACCCCTGCCTTCAGCATGCTCGAAGTCAAATTCAGAAAGCAAACACATGAATGAAGAGAAAAAAAAAGCTAATGTTCCTGTGTATGGTTGTGTTGGTGCAATCAGACCCCCAAAGAGTGACAGCTGAGTGGGTCTGTGCACTAGGCATATAACTTTAAGGAAAATTTTTTACCATGTATTATTTCTGTGTAAAAACCATATTCTTGTGCTGAAGGTGCCATGCTCAAGGCATAAAAAGTTAGATTATTTCCCATGTGCAGTAAAAATAACAGAAACACTGCATCAGGGCTCTCCCCCTTCTGCTACTCAAATGATTTGTGAAAGGGAAATATTAAAGATGTCTGGAACCAACTCTTTTTACATCTCTTCACCAAGTTACCTTATCAGTGAGGCCTTTCCTGACCACCCTATTTAAAACAACAAGACCGGGGCACCTGGGTGGCTCAGTCCTTAAACGTCTGCCTTCGGCTCAGGTCATAATCCCAGGGTCCTGGGATCGAGCCCAGCATCGGGCCCCCTCTCTCTCTCTCTCTCTGCTTCTCCCTCTCCCACTCCCCCTGCTTGTGTTCCCTCTCTTGCTCTCTCTCTCTCTCTGTCAATTAAATAAATAAATAAAATCTTAAAAAAAAAAAAAAACAACAAGACCTCTCTCCCCACACTCACCTCCTATTTGGCATGCGCTATCTCACCTCCTGGATTTATTTTTCCTCATAACAGTTTTCCCCATATAACATACTACATATTTTACTTGTTTATTTGTTTTGAAATCTCTCTAGCACTATAAACATAAGCTCTATGAATGCAGGGATTTTTGTGTTTTCTTCTCTGGTGTACTCCCCAGCTCCAAAGATTTTGTCCCTCACAGAGAAGATACTAAGAAAAGCAATTGATGAATTAGTGAATTGATGAAGAAATGAATGAAATATAAAACTGTAAAGAGTTTGCCTTTGAATAACTACATATTTGTATGCACGTGTACTATAAATTTTTTAGTTTGTTTTGGCAATTTAAATCAGCATTTAGTAAACATCCTGGGACAGAAGTTCCTGCCAGCTTTCTAGACTTGATAGGATCTTTCTGCATTCATAAAAAGAACTTGGTATCTCTTCCCGGACATTTTGGGGGCAGCACTTCTCTTATTTCCCTAATGTAAACTATCCATTAAAAGTCAAGACTGGCCAATTGACAAGTCTGATTCCCCTTCACGTCTATACAGACACTTTTTATCTTGTTAACACTTGTTACTGAAGAGTAAATATATTACTTAGAACCAAACAGACTAGATTAACTAAACTAGATTCTCAGGTCAAAACCAAAATTATTCAGCTGATCTACCTGAGGAAGGTATTACCCTTCCATAAGGGGTTGGAAATAACCTGGTACCAAAGACCTGTCACCATGTTTGGAGTTATATTTGTGATCCACAGTGAAGCCAGCACCTGAAAGCCAGGTGGGCCAGACTATCCAGTTACAATCTGTTTCTGCAGTTACTAATAGATGGGTCTGTGCCCCTCCTTAGCATTCTGTCACCTGCACGTGTACCTGAGGTCTCATTTTTATGTGTGGCTATTATTGTGTCTACAACTGCTTTTTCAACAGTAAAGCTTCTTTATTATAAAAGCAATATAGGGTGATGGGTATTAAGGAGAGCACGTGTGATGATGAGCACTGGGTGTTATACTCAACTAATGAATCACTGAACACTACATCAAAAACTAATGATGTACTATATAGTAGCTACTGAACATCATAATAAAAAAATAAAAAAAAAATTTAAAAAACAATATATATTCTCCATTTAAGACAGTAAGGAAAAAGGAAGGGAAAAAAAGTTACCCATCATCTCATCATCCAAAGACAACTCTTATTAATATCATAGCATGTTTCTTTTAGTTTTCTTAGGCATATTTATCTTGTCAAGATTTTTACATAATCTACAATAGTTTAAAGAAATACTTACCCACTGGTTTCACACTGAAAGGTCTCCAGGTCTGAAAGAATTTTAAAGGCAGTTATCATCATTGGAAAAGGCGCTGGGGATGCAGTCTGCAGAACTGATTTCTCCAATTTGAATAATAAGTACTTTGGAGAACCTGATAAAGGAATGTAAAGAAATCCCCAGAGTTAAAATAATAGAAACCCAAAAGAATGCAGATGGTGCTAAAGCATTTCCAAAAAAAAAAAGTTATAGGTGGTTTTGAGATTTTTGTCTAAATTTCACCTACAAAGTCAATTAAAAAAAGAAAAATATTCAAAATAGTTATTTGGTAACATATTTTTCAAATCAAGTAGTTTTTTTTTTTAATTCAACCTATTAAAATCCTGCAAATGTGGCAAAATCAAAATTTATACACATAGTGTAAAATACTATTTTGGTCCAAATATACTTCTATTATTGGAGTACTCATTAAGAATTTCCAAACACTGACCTTGGAGTGTTAGTAAATCTCTAGAGAGTTTGTTGTGGTGATCATCAAACTCTGACTCTAAATCACTCCTGACTGTCTCAACATGAATGTCAATGTTATTTTAGTCCAGGTTGTTTAGTCTCCCAATGATTTGGGACTTGCTTTAGTGTTGACAGGTACTCTCTGGCTGCAATGAAAATTATTGCTCCCCAGCATACACATTTTCTCACAAGTTTGAAAAGGACACAATAAGCCAAAATTTCCCCAGGGCTTGAATTACTTCTAAGAGAGAAGTTCTCACTTCAAAAGGGCAATAGAGTTCTGCTGGGTGTGATTTCCAAAAGTTATGATGTATTCATGCAGCAAAAAGGCTTTCATTAACATGAAAGCCTCTATCTTCAAAAAATCCTCCTGAGGTTGCTTAGGACGATAAGAACTATACTCCCAATTTTAGAAATAGCAAAAAGGAGCCAACTCCATGCAGCTGTCCATTAAGAGACATAAATTAGCACCCCAGTCTCTTGACTCAGAATCTTGGATTATATTTCCACATTAGATAAGCAAATGGGGAAAGTTATAGTTACCTCTGAGTAAAATGCCATTAATGCTTCTTACTTTACTAGATTATTGAAGGAGTTTCAGAGGTAACGTAAAATCTACCCACTGTATGTCCTTTAAAACACTAGGTGTTCAGGAAAGGTATCTCCCTTTGCCCACACTATCTCTTCCAGTATTTAAGGGTTTCTAAGTTGAGGACTTAGGTGAAGTAGAGAACATATGATTGAAGTGACAAGAAAGAGATGTTAAGTTAGAGAAGGAAAAGGAAACAGGAGAAAAAATAGTGACATTAGAGCTTCTAGGAGTAGGGCAGGTGGCCTCATCAGCAATGGAATCTCATTCTCGAAAGTTCTCAAGCCAAAGTAAAGTAATGACTGTCAGAGATGTTGTAGGCTTAATTCCCAGATGGTGTCTACGAAGCATGCCAGAATGACAGCAAAGGTTGCTCCTGGCTCCAGGACTGCACGATTTATAAGGTGAAATATTGTATCTAGTAAGTATTCAATAAATAGTTTTGAAATGATGTTGGCCATATTAGAACTTCCAAAGGTAGTCTTGTCTACAGCATTCTCTCTATTGCAATAAAAAACTAACAAAAACCCTTAAAGACTCTTCCCTCCTAATGGCAGATATTCTCTTTACGTATAAATGACCACAAATATGTCTTTGCTTTTATATGACCTTCATATGGAGATAAGGGGGTTTCTCTAAATGCCTAAATCCTTAGTGAAAATGAGTGCTAATGACCACAAACCTTT